ATTGTTAATAAACAATTGCAATGTTAACTAATTGTTTATTAACAATTTACTTATCCAAAATACTTCATATAGTGCTCGTTGGATGCGGAATTACGTTAACTTTCAATTACTAACTTCAGAATTACGGTAACTTTATTCGTTTGTAGAATATTTCATTTGTTATAAACATTAATTAATTAATTAATATCTCAAAAACTTTAAAAGATCCCACTCTGAAAATTACATGTTTTGTAGGAAATTAGTCAAGCTTTCCATTGAGATAGTTAAAAATAATTTTAAAAAATCCGATTTGAGATAAACGTAAATTAACATTTTGACCTTGAATTTCAAGGTCAAATGTTATTTAAAAAAAAAAAATTTATTATCAGCGTGTAGCTTGGCAAAAAAGCTTTAAAAATCATTATATATATGTTAACTTTTATGTTTTCTACTTATAAATATTGTACATTGGAAAAAATTTTTTTTTTTAAATTCAAAAATTAAAAACGTTGTAATTCAAAAACTATTGTATTAAATTTAATAATAATTGATTTTTAGACTTTCACCAACAATAACAACATTTTAGAAAAGTATGGATTAAATTCGAGAACTTTTAATTTTTTGTTCGGACATTTCAGGAATTTTGCCTCATATATGTAAGAAATTTTTAAATAAAAAACACATGAAATTAAAATACAATTGTTCTATTTATTTCTTTTATCACAGCCTTTACATTTCCCGACATTTTTTTCTCGAACTTATCAACTATTTACAAATTGTCGAGATTTGGGATCGCATAGTGACCCCACGGTAGAGTATCGGTACTCCCCGGTAACAAATACCGCTTGTCGTCTTGCGGACTTAAAGCTACTTTAACCTGCTTCACAGTTTCAAGATTGTGAAGCCGCGATCGAATATTATATTGTGTTCCGAGTTTGAATGTCAAAATCTCGCAGACATTTTACATAATCATCAAATTGAATTGTCTTTTTAACAACGCCGGCTTTAACACCTTTAGCTTTTTTAATAAAATTTTTATCTTCAACGCGTACACTGTACATCTTACTCCGCAAGCCAACAAATTCAGTTACAATTCTGCCGTTGCACTCATCTTTCATGAGGCCGAGGACTTTTTTGTTGACTTGCGGAATATCATAGACGTTATTCGTGGGATAATCAGATGTATCAAACTTGTCAATATCTTTTTTCATGTCTTTGTAAATATCTTCACACTTGATTTCGTAGATAAGACTGTCTGTATCGGTAAACAGCAGTTTACAAGCATCGCCATATTTTTTTAACATGTAACCATAATGGAAATCGTAAATTAGCGTCTTAGATATATCAAGCACACTTAACCCTACATAGATTGGTTTGTTGAGCAGTACCTCGACTTTGCGCAATTCAATAGCAACCAGATCTTCGTCGAAAATCGCTCGACTTTTGAAATTTGGGCGGGAGATTAGAGCTTCAGCTCCATAGCGGCCGAACCATTTTGTGACGAGTTTAATGTCAACATGTTTGCGGACATTTTCCATCGTCTTGCCGTACACTGCATTGTTCATAAGCTTAAACAAATTCTTTTCGAAGTCATTTTTAGCATTGGTTCGCATCATTGTGTTATAGTCGATGTACGGTTTAAGCCAGGTTGATTGCTTAAACTGCAAGACACGGTGGATTTTCACAGTTTTAATATCGTTTGCCACAACTTGTTTTAGCGTTCGATAATGAATAACATATTTTTCTTTAGGCATGAGAGTGGTTAACAATTTCTCCTGTTTTAACAATGGAGGTTTCTTATTTTCAGCGCAGAATGGCATGTCTTTATGAGTATCATGAATGTCTTTCGGATACTCCAAATCAACTTCTAGGATGTACCCAACAGGGGAATCGTCAGGTACATGAAAATTAAAAGAGTCGTCAACATTTTCAACCCATTTGAAACCGCCATAAGGGAGCGATTGAGCCATTGCCCAGTCATACAAATTGTTGGCATCGAAGTACATGAGATAGCTTGTATCTTCGTTTTTGTTGAAATTCTCCATATATGGATTATTCGCTTTTGCATAGCGGTTGCAACATTGACTAATGCCGCCTCGAATACCCGACTCAACAAACATCATCATATCAATATCGGTTATAAGTTGCAATCCTATGCCAGTATATTTGAGCATAGCATCCCAAGTTAAATCTGGAGTCGTATAATAGTGTGCAGGATCTAACTTGTACGCAATAACACATTGTTCGCGGAAGTTTTCAAAGACATCGGCAAGTAACAATACATCTGTTTTCATGTACAAGTGGACATAGTCGTAGAGATTTTGACAATCAAATTCGGACCAAACTTTCTGCGCATGCTCATAATCTTCATCAGAAATACCGGCATCATAAAGAGTACTGTAAAATTTCTCTTTCGGAGGCAATTCTGTCTCATCTAGCTTACGTTTTGAGTCAAAGTACTCATAGGGGAAAACACCCTTTCGCGTTAATAACTTAATTTTATCTGGATCAGTCACCGTACTGGCAAAAACGGCGTTTACAATTTTATACTCGTCCAAGTAGGATGCGAGTTTTTCTAGGGATGATGCCATGAATCTGAAAGAGTCAATGAATCGAAACTTGACCTCACTCCCCTTGAAATGTTTTGTGAAGGCGATATACTTCTCTTTGTTAATGGGGAGAAGATCAATTTTACCTTCAAAGCTCGTTGAAATCGCGTGAATTATAAAATGGGCGTCATAGCCACTTAAATTGTGGAACACTGCAGGGATCGTTTGACAATCTTGAAAATTTAAATTGCACGACTCATGCGCAGCACCCCTATACTTGCCAGTAAGATGACAATGATCTCGGACTTTTTTATCGCTTGCCGCTATTTTCTGATGACAAATATGGCATATTGTCGCTCGCTTAAAATCGCTGATTTCTTGAGGAGTTCATGCAGACATTGGTATCGGATTTTTAAATACATCATCAATTTTTTCAGCAATCTGCTTTAACTCCCCAGCAAACCATTTAGCTGGATCAGCTTCATGCTTCGGACATGGTACATAAACAGATTGAGATTCGTCGTAGCCACAATTCAAATAATAGCCGATGCTTAATAGCTTATGGCGTTGAAATACTTCAGTCTTACTCAAATTGTTTACATCTTCATCAGCTGGAAGAAGTAAACTTTCACAGTCGGCGTAAAACACATACGGTACTTTCTCTCTATTTTTATAGTTTTTGAACTTGATAATACTGTCTTTCGGCTTCGGTAGCGTTATTTTACACTCATTCACTTTCTTACAATCTTCAATGTGTGCATTAAGTTTTTCTACAGAATATAAATAGTGTAGACATCTATCACAGATCTGCTTTTTACCTTTATGATTTGACAATTGTTTGAATATTAGAGCAGGTAAATTTTTTATCCATACATAATGGAAATTCAAAAAATCACCGCCATCGCATATTACATTTTCTTCAACACTCTCATCCGCATATATATCCGCAACGTAAAAGAGATTTACATGTTTATCTCTTTTCTCCACAGTGAGGTGAAGAGAATGTACTGAAAAGTCCCCGTAATATTTTGATAAACCATAGACATTAATCGAAACATCGTTTAATTTTTCAAATTTCGGGACATTTTTTAACGCTATTGGGAATTCAATCCTTTCGAAATTTAACTCATCTTTAAAATTTTTTAAATTTTCTACACGTTTAGGGTCTAATACTTCAGGATGCAGGGCTGAGAGCACCGCCCACTTGAAACACTCATTATCATCATTGTTTTGCACATTGATACATGCTCGCTTACTTTTAATCTGTGGAGGTAGATCAATGTATGAGCTCGCGCGCATCGGATTGTACTTGTTTACATTGACTTCTAACCTTATAATCAAATGAAGGTTCCAATTTGAACCCTTTGTGTAAAACTCTTCAACGCTGCGCAAAATTGGTTGTTTGATGTTCTCATCGAACCAATCATCTAAGAGAGTGGTGGGGAAAATACTTTTCGCCTTAGAACCAAAAGGTGTAGGCTTAACGACCTCCTCACCATTCTCAACCCTTTTAAAATGTGTGATGAGAACACCATACACCAAGATGGCGCCATGTTTGTTTAGAGCACCCCTAATGTGATCCTGGAAAAGTGTGGACGCATCGTCCGAAAACGCGCTAATATCAATATGTACAAGATTCAGGATCGCATTAGTGTACAATCTGCACGCAAAAGCACTCTCACATTCTTCCCATCGAACGCGTTTATTAATGTCTGGATCACCGATTCCAGAGCCATCTACAACATGTGACTCAAACAAAGCGCGAAATCTGATTATGGATTGCAGAATGCTCACACATCTCTGCTTTTGATGTGTAAAATACATCGATTTGAAAATGCTCGACAACAGATTTTCATATCTCGAGCATTCTGCAATCCATCGTTCAATAAATGATCGTCTTGAGTCGACGTGTCTGAGGATTGGCACCAGCTCCAGAGCTTCCTTGATGAGTGAAATCGTGACGTCACACTCATCGAGGATGGTCTTGTAGTTTGGATGTTTTCGCGGTCCATCGGTGAATGTAGCCTTCCGCTTCATCTCTACACTTGAAATTAAACTTACAAGCTATCAAACTTAACCTAAAAGCGCAAACTTAAAATTAAAATACTTAACCTAGAAAAGAACACACTTAACCTAAGAAATACAAAAGGTAAATACAATAAACACAATAAATATCAAAAAAATACAATAAAAATCAAATAATACAATAAATACAATAAATATCAAAGAAAGACAGTTAGTAAATGGCAAGGGAGACTGCTGCTGCTGGAACACCTGCGAACACAAGAGAAAATGACTCAATTCGCTCGCGATCCCGAATATATACCCGAAATTTTGCTCGCGCATGCGCACTAGAACTTTTACTCCCACTCCTACCTTTCGCACACCCCACTCTTACATTTACCCCAACCCATTCGCGCATGCGTAAAAGAATGTATACGGATATATCAAAAAATGAACTTTTATTAAAAATTAAAAATTAATATTTAAAATAATGGCAGCTTGGCGGCGATGACGCCTTCGTCGCTGTCTTCTCTCTGGGCCGGGTGGTGGTGTCGGCGCCCTGGCCTCTGGTGGAGCTGTCGGCACCCTGACCTCCGGTGGAGGTGTTGGCGCCCTGACCTCCTGTGCCCGGACCCTTGGCCTCACGACAGCCACCGGTCTTCTTGGAGCCTCTGGAGATGGTGGTGGAGGCTCCAGCTCCACCCAGGATGGCGGCGTTTCTGGCCGATGCAAGAAATACCTGAGTGGAGTCCCCGGTGGCGTCGTCGGGAACGGTACCTCGTCGTTAGGATTCTGCAACTAAAAATCGTAATAAGCATCACTGAATTAAAATTTATTAACCAGGAATAATTACGTTGTGCACCTACACCCTTATCACATGGCAGTGGTAGCAATCGCAGCTCTCCATCGTCATCGACCACTTGGGACTAATCTGCTGCTGCGAATGAGCTAGTGCCGCTGAGCTCCTAGATTTAAACGGTCCTATTCCCACCACACGCACTCACCCCACCATGCGATCACCCCACCACGCGCTCTCAACACCTTGTGTGAGCGGCCGTTGAGTGAAGCTCCTACGATTTAAACACGCCGTCGGTAACGCGGTTAATTTAAAAAAATTACAACATAATAGTTAATGTAATAAATTAATTCTGATTAATTTATTACTTAATTGACATATAAAGTTATAAATAATAAGCATTATTAATAATTAATGCACTATAAGTTAAAATATTTAATTTATAACCTGTAAATATAAAAAATTAGGTTTAAATTATTAAACTTACCTTAATTAAAAAAAAACAATTATAATATATATGTGTTATAAATATTTTAACTTGCCTTAACAAATTAATTATATGTTTAAAATATTAATGCAAAGAAAATGTATAACATTAATGTTGAATTAATATGAAATTAATTTTGAATCTAAATAAAGCGTAGAAAAAAAACATAGAAAAACCAATGTGAAAATTTGTAAAAGTGTAGAAATAAAATGTATAAACAATATAACTCATATATATTATTAAGTGTTAAAAAGTAAAATTCAAATCATGCAAAATAAAATACAACACATACAAAATAAAAATATACCACAGTAGATTAGAAAAATATAATAAAAATGTATTTTGAAAATAACAAAAGTAAAATGTATCAAATATATAAAAAATTAAAAATTTTTATACATGCACATTTACAAAAGATATAAAAAACGAAAAACTTCTGTAAATGTGCATGTATAAAAAATTTTTAATTTTTTATATATTTGATACATTTTACTTTTGTATCAAATATATAAAAAATTAAAAATTTTTTATACATGCACATTTACAAAAGATATAAAAAACGAAAAACTTCTTTTACATATGTCCATTTACAAAGAATATAAAAGATATAAGTAATAATAAAATATATCCCGTGTCCGTTTGGAATTCATTCCAAGTGGGGGGAGACAGTAGTTTGTACAAATTTGTGCGAATTTGCTTGTCTCTTGGGGTTTTCTCGCTGGTCCCCCATCGGGCGCGTCCCTAGGTGGTGGATAAGGGCACGCCTCCTAGATATAGGTGGTATCGGCGAAATCAAATAGCCGGCGCGAACCAAAACCAGCATACACGGAGAACTTTCAAAAGAACAGAAAAGAAAGGAAAAGGGGTGAGATAGTGGACTGCTCGGGGACTGTTCCCCTCTGCGGCCGATCGGACTCTTGTCTGCTCTGCCGGTCCTTGCTCCTGCATCACGGAATAGGGGATGAGGATGGATCGCTTGGCTGTGCGGGTTAGAAACCTGGTGTCTTTGAAATATTAAAGACGCCCGGTGCCCAAACGGAGAGCGATGACCAACGGACGGGCTTAAAACCCTGTCGCCTGAAGGTTCCAGCGACCCCACGAAGGAATGTCCGTTAAATCGGTCTTGCGGGATGGGGAAGCTGGTTATCCGATTCCACTGAAATGGATTGCAGGACTCTCGGGCTGGTTGAGCACCAGGTTTGTGTTCTGCGGCCGATGGGATCGGTTTCCCGGGTGGACCACTGTTAACCCCTTCGAGAAAGTTTTTCCACAAACACTTATACATCTTTACACATGCATGTAAGTCACACACACCACATTACACTTACGGACCTCTGCGCACCCTGCCTCGCGGGGCAGTACATTGCGGAGGTCTTTCACACACATAAACCACACACTTACATGCTAGGGGAAGGAACCCCGATAAAAAATACAAAATTTCAAAAAAAAAAAAAAAATGGAAGAAAAAAACTTGGAAAATAAAGTTACCCAGCAGGGGAAGTCGGAAGCCCCAGTGGCGGCGCTGTCCCAGGGTGCGCAAGCAGGCCCTGGAGCGTCGAAATCCTATTACTGCAGTGACTCATCGGTGGCTCACTTGGCCGATGAGTCATTAAATGCATCAAGTGCAAGAAAAGTTGCAGATGAAAAGATGGAGGTGGAAAGCGTGGAGCTACCCACCACCATCGTTGAGAAAGCAAAAAAAATGGAGAACTTGGAGTTGCGGACTGCTTCCCCGGAGGTCGAAGGATGGCGTGCCATCCTTGGATTTCTGGAGAAGCAGTCTGAGGTTGTTGAGCAACTCGTCGACGCACTGAAAATAGTGCGGGACGGGATGCTCAAAAACAACTCCAAGGAAGTGAAGAACAGCGCCAAAGAGGCTTACCTCTACAGTGGGAGTCTTCGAGGCATAATTAAAGATGCAAAAGAGGAGGGAGAGGGCTTCCTACGAAAGTTGGAGGAAGCTGACTCCCTCTCTCAAAAGAGAAATCGGAGTCACCAGGGAGTAAAGTCCCTGGCGACCCCGATTTCGGCAACAAAAGGAAAAAAGAGAGATGCCTCGAGGACTCCCCCTGAGATGGGAGCATTGAAAAAAGGCAAAACAGGCGAGTTGGCCGTAAAGGAAAACCCGCCTGTTGCCAAAACAATTGGAAACAAGAAAGAGACTTCTTCCCAGGTCGACTCTGAGACCTGGCAAGAAGTCAAAAAGAAAAAGAAGAAGAAAGCCTCAGAGGAAAAAGCCAGGGAGTCGTCAAGTCCTAAAGCTGGACGACCCCCAGGTAAAAGGCTAAGAGGAACGGTGGCCATCAGGGTATCCGCGAAGGACGGTCAGTCCTATGCGGATATCCTGAAGGATATGAAAGCGGGGGTCAGGCCCGAAGAGACGAAGACGGAGATTCTGTCAATTCGAAGAACCAGAAGGGATGAAATCCTTCTGGTTCTGAAGAAGGGGCAGGATCTCTCTGGTTTCAGAGGTGCCCTGGCCACCGCTCTCGAAGGAAAGGCGGAGGTGAAGACGTTGGTCTCGACGAGGTCGGTAGAAATACTAGACCTCGACGAGACCATCGTCGACACAGAAGTTGTTGAGGCAGTCCGGGTAACACTGGGCAAGCCAAACCTAGATGTGCCATGCCAAGTCTTCACTCGGTATGGTCATAACAAGATGGCGATTCTGCGACTCCCGGAAACGGAGGCAGAATCCCTTCTTGGGACCGGAAGAGTGAAGATTGGCTGGGTCAATTGCAGAGTCCGTGCCAGGTTAGAAGTAGAGAGGTGCTATAGATGCCTCTGCTACGGCCACCTGGCCGGAGGATGCACTGGCCCAGACAGGAAGGCTGCTTGCTGGAGGTGTGGCAATCCAGACCACCGGAAGACGGGATGCGAAGGCGATGCCAAATGCATCACGTGTTCCGACAGTGGGATGACGGATCTGAAACACCTTCCAGGAAGCAGGGCTTGTCCAGTTTACTGGAAGTTGCTCCAGGACCTAAAGTCCCGAGCTAAGGTTTCTTCAAGTTAACCTCAGGAAAGGAAGAGTCGCGCAAGATCTCTTGATGCAGACTGCCAGAGAGAGAGGAGCTGATGTGCTGCTTTTCAGTGAGCAGTACAAGAAGCCGGGATTCTCTGTCTGGTTTGAGGATGCATCAAGAAGATCAGGTATTCAGGTGTGTAACCCGGACATCACCATTGGTGACTTCCTGGAGACAGATAAGGGATTTGTTTGGGTAGAGGTGGCAGGTGTACGTATATACAGCTGCTACTTCTCCCCAAACGATCCCTTTAAAAAATTCGATGCCGAGGTTCAAGCTCTTGAAGAAAGCGTTAGAGCTTTCGGCGGTGATGTCCTCATTGCGGGAGACTTCAATAGCAAGTCGCCGGAATGGGGAGAGAGCCGCTTAGACAGGAGAGGAACCTTGGTAGCGAATATGGTCGCAGCGAACGATCTAGTGGTGATGAACCGGGGTCAAAAGTTCACGTTCAGGCGCGGGGTATCAGGGTCAATTATCGACTTGACAATCGCGTCGCCCCGCGTGGCTCGTAGAATAAGAGAGTGGAGCGTTCTGGACGAGACGACCATGAGCGACCACCAGTACATTGAGTTTATAGTCTCTGAGAAAAATCTGGGAGGGAACAATAGACTGCAAGGTGGCAGCAAGAAGCCCTCCTGGAATCTCAGAAGACTAAATAGAGAGAGATTAGCGGAGTCTCTAGCCGAGTCTCGGTCTTTTCAGGAACTCGGTTGGACGACGAAGCCAATCACTCTAGAAGAAAAAGTGCGGGAGGCGAGGCGAGTTATTATCGCGGCTTGCAGGAACTCAATGCCTCGCCGGCAGAAAAGAAAAGCTAAAAAAGCTCTGTACTGGTGGAATGACGAGTTAGCCCGCCTAAGAAGAGAATGCCATGCAGCGAGGAGGAAGTATACCCATTCTAAGGGAGACCTCCTGCTGCAAGAAGAGTGGCATAAAGCCAGGCAGATCTTCAAGCGGGCTATAAGGAGTAGCCAAAGAAAGTGTTGGAAGGACCTGATCGGAGAAGTGGAAAATGACCCATGGGGGTTGGCCTTTAGAGTAGTTTCTAAGAAATTAGTTTCGCGGCAAAAAACCCCCGGTCTGGACAATCCGATTTGGGTCCGAAAAATCATACGTGCTTTGTTCCCCCATGTGGAATCTGGCCCCCGAGAGGACTATACTCACTGTGTAGTACAGAGGGAAGAACTCTTCACACTTGAAGAGCTTAAAAAGGTGGCAAAGACGTTGAAAAATGGCAAAGCGCCAGGCAATGATGGAATACCCAACGAGATTCTTAAAGAAGTTATCGCTGTGTATCCGGAGCTACTTCTCGACGTCTTTAATACATGCCTGGAGTGTGGAAGGTTTTTCAGTGACTGGAAAACACAGAAGTTGGTCCTCCTTAGGAAGGGGGATAAACCTCTAGATAAAGTCTCATCGTTTAGACCAATTTGTTTATTGGACACGATGGGTAAACTTCTAGAGGGAATGATTCTGGAGAGACTACAGAGAATCCTGGTAGGCGAAAGTAGCTTATCCGAAAACCAGTTTGGCTTTAGAAAAGGCCGGTCAACGGTAGACGCGATTTTAGCGGTTGTTGAAAAGGCAAATAAAGTCAAATCAGGGAAGAAGAAGGGATTTTGCGCACTCGTAGCCATAGACATACGGAACGCGTTCAATTCCGCGAGATGGGATATTAGTATCGAGGCGATGAAACGTAAAGGGGTGCCAACCTATCTGTTGCGAATGATAGATGACTATCTTAGCGACAGATGGGTTGTGTACGAGAGCGATGCATGTCATATCAAAGAAGAGATGACATGCGGAGCTCCCCAAGGATCGAAGGTAGGTCCAACCATATGGAACGTCATGTATGACGGTTTCCTTAGGTTGGACTTACCGGAAGATACGTTTCTAACCGGGTTCGCGGATGACGTGCTTTTAGTATGCTGTGCGGACGAGATAAATCTTTTACAGATAAAACTCGATGATAGTCTGCGACGAATAGGGTTTTGGTTGGACCGACATGCCCTGAAAATGGCCGTCGAGAAAACCGAGGCTCTGCTCGTCACAGACCGGAGAGACTTCCGATTCCCGCGGTTGGAAATTGGAGGATCTGTAGTTTCATGGGGGACAAAATTGAAGTACCTGGGAGTGACGTTGGACAAACGTTTGAGTTTCGGACAACATATTAACATCTCGTCACTCCAAGCCACCGAATGCATGGGAAACCTTTCGAGGATGATGCCCAATATCGGTGGCCCCAGGGAAAAGAAACGTAGACTAGTGGCGACTGTGGTTCAATCAAAGCAGCTTTATGCTGCTCCTGTTTGGGCCTCGGCCCTAAAGTTCCACAGCATCTCTAACAGGCTCCTCGCGGTCCAGAGAGACCCGGCACGGAGAATTGTGTCAGCCTTCAGAACGGTGTCTACTTGCGCTGTTCTGGTACTCGCTGGATTACCGCCAATAGATTTATTGGCGATGGAAAGGAAGGAGATCTTCCATCTTAACAAAGATCTGGCGGGTACTTCAGAGCATAGCGATAGACTCAAAGCGATAATACGCCGAGAGTCCAGAAGTAGACTCGTTCAGAAATGGCAGGAGAGATGGGATGGGGAATCTAAAGGTAGGTGGACCTACCGCCTGATTCCCCTCCTCGCCACATGGTTAGATAGGAAGCACGGTGAAGTTGGCTACTACCTTACACAAGCGTTGTCAGGTCATGGTTGTTTCGGACAGTATTTTCATCGATTTAAAATAGAAGCAGAAGCGAGATGTGTGTATTGCAACGGTTCGGGTGTCGACGAAGCAATACACACTGACGACGCGGAGCACACGCTCTTTTTCTGCGGGCACTGGCGTGAACTTAGGTTAGCCATGTTCTCGGCTGTGGGCACTGAAGTCACACCCGAGAACATGGTTTCTATTATGTTGCAGAGCGCGGACTCTTGGAGGAGCGTCGAGTCCTTCATTACAACCGTAATGAGGACGAAGGAGGACGACAGGAGGAGGTTGACTTTGAGAAATCCTGCTGCTCGGCTGGGTGTGCGAGCGGGACGGGGGAGACCTTAACAGGCTCTCCTTCTTCTAGCGCTAGCACTCAGTTAAGGATTTAGGACCGAGAGCAACGGTAAGGAGACTTCCACTGGCGATGTATAAAGCTAACAGCAGTTCCGCCAGTGGAGTTTAAGTCTCAAAAAGGGTGTGGTTTTTAGTGAGTCGACCAGAACAAGAGCGGTCATCCCCACATAACCTAGGAGTACGGGCTCCAGGTATCTGA